ACTCGAAAATTGCCAGATAGAGGGGACGGATTACAGGGAATCATTTGCTCCAATAATTAAGATGACGACTTTTCGCATATTTCTTGGTGGTGCTTCCGCAAAGAACTGGGAACTCCATCAGATGGACGTGCATAACGCCTTTCTACATGGGGATCTGGAGGAAGAGGTATATATGAAAATGCATCCCGGATACTCATTGTTCGATCCAAATCAGGTATGTCGCCTTCATAAATCTCTATATGGTTTAAAGCAAGCCCCACGCTGCTGGTTTGCTAAGCTCTCTACAGCTCTGCTCGCCTACGGTTTCTGTCAAAGTGCTTCGGATTATTCTCTGTTTTCATACAATCGAGGTTATTCTGTTTTGTATTGCCTGGTTTACGTTGATGATTTGGTCATTGGAGGCAACGATTCTGCAATGATTTCTTCCTTCAAGACATATCTCCATGAGTGCTTTCATATGAAAGATTTGGGTCATCTAAAATACTTCCTTGGTTTGGAAGTTTCTCGGAGCTCCTCAGGCATTAATTTATGTCAGCGAAAGTATGCCCTTGACATCATATCGAAGTGTGGATTACTTGGTTCCAAGCCTGCGGAGACACCACTTGAACAGAATCACGGTTTGGCTACATCAACAGGGGAGTTACATTCTGATTCAGCCTAATATAGACGACAGGTTGGCCGACTGGTTTACTTAGTCATCACTAGGCCAGAGTTAAGCTACGCAGTCCACATTCTTGCTCAGTTTTTGCAAAATCCTCGACAACGACATTGGGAGGTAGCTCTAAGAGTCGTCTAGGTGTGTTTTTAAGTGTGACCAGTGACATGTCTTTAACAGCTTACTGTGACTCAGATTGGGAGGCTTGTCCTCTTACTCGAAAATCATTGACCGGTTATGTTATCATGCTCGGAGATTCACTGAATCTTGGAAAATACGAAAACAGAAAGTTGTGTCACGTTCTACGGCAGAGGCTGAGTATCGAGCAATGTCTGATACATACAGAAAATTAAATTGGATAGCACCGTTGCTGCAGAAATTGGGTGTGACACGAATGAAACCAATTTCATTTCATTGCGACAACAAGGCAGCTCTTCATATAGCCTCAAATCCCGTTTTCCACGAGCAAACCAAACATGTCGAGCTGGATTGTCATCTTGTGCGCAATGCGGTGAAGGCGGGTTTTCTTTTGCCTTGTTATGTTTGTACTTCTCAACAACTGGCGGATATCTTAACTAAGGCACTCGGACGCCAACTATTTCATCATCGACTGTGCAAGCCAGTTCATGACTTACACGCTCCAGCTTGAGGGGGAGTTTCAGGAGATATATTAGGATAATAGAGATAAGTATATACAGATATGATAGATATGTATCCTAGATTTACTTCTATCTTGTAACGTGTATATATACACATTCCTACGTTAATGAATACAACAACACAACTTTACAGTTTAGCAATAAATCTTGTCTTAGACCAAACTAAGGAAGGAATTAATTAGTTTAAACTTAACAACGGTAATGCAACTAGTAATTGACGGAATTATGGGAATGAACTGACAAGATATGTAATGCACAAAATGGTACGAAGCTGCAATTAAAAATCTTGGGTTAAAATAGTATATATTTTTTGTTTTTAAACAAGATGATTCAAGATCAAAATAAAAATACAGTATAATAAAAATTATTTTGTTGATTTTCGTTTAAACAATGAACCCAAATACAATAACAGAAAATATAAATATGCAACAAAGCAGTGAAAACTGCTTTTTTTTTTTTTGAAAAATGATAACAAATGCAAATACACAATAAAACAAATACAATGATAAGATAGCACCTGGTTTGAAGTATTTCGGTTCTGATACCGGATGACACAAGATCAAATAAATGATTTAGTTGTGGACGATAGGATTGGGCTGCTGGTTGCTCAATGCTCCCAGCTTCAATCGGTGGGTGGACTATGAATGGCTATGGATCGAGTATTGGATCAAGACAACTGGCTATGCATCTCTCTTTGGCTTGATCAATGGATGGAACGATGATTGTAGCAAGGTGGATTGATGTAGCCACAAAGCGTTATGAAAGAAAGGCTTTGATAAGACAAGAAACTCTCAAAGATGAATCACTCAAACTTTAAGAATTACAAGGGTGTTTTCAAAGAAAATTTGGTTTGTTTTATTTCATCAAATCTGAAAAATAAAAGGCTGTAAGAAGGGACTTTATACTTAGTCTGAACAGCTATTGCCTTTCTCGAGGTCTTTAAAACAAATTACAATAATGGAAACATAGCTAACTGAATCAAATAAAAGATAACTCGGCTAAACAAATGTCTTTGACTACTAATGAATAAACAAGCAAGATCAACATTTAAACAACCGCAATCATGGTTTTATTAGTCAAGATACCTGTGGGATAATTTAAATAATAAATGAACCTTTGGATTGTGGTATAGCTTGGAAGTATAATATATGAGTCCCTTGCATGAATTTTTGAATGATGCATTTTGGAGTTTATCACTTAAGTAGCACAATGCTGAATAAAGAAATTTCTTCCTTTTTTTGAATAGGCGATCATTTTTTTGTATGATGTATTGTTTATGTTTGGACCATTTATGATATCTCTTTGGCGCTCTTGGCTTCTTTCCTTTGTTTGAACGATGTCATGTTCTTTAAACTCGGTTTTGGCTAATGTTTATCCTTTGGAAATGTTGATCGAGTTAAGAAGTAACATCTTCGAGTTCCTTATTGATGATCAATGTCTCCATGGCTAAATAGAAGCTTTCATTTACATTTTTATTTTCGGATCTTGTCTTTGGTGCTTGTTTCATAGTAGAGATTAGATCGGTTGAATCTTTGTTTGTTTCTGATATTATATCACACTTGCTCTGTTTTGGAAATTTCCCTTATCTGATTTACTTCCAATAACATGTAAAAATGACATCTTAAAAATCAAAATCCAGACCTTCTAGTATAAAAACATTAATAAACCGCTTAATAAAATACTGAACTAAAGAGATTTCACATAAATTTCTCTCTTCACTCTTATTTTTTTATATAAAAAATATGTATCGACTTTCTATTTTTATTTTCTTTCTTTTTCTAGCTAATATTTCATTTCCATTTTTGATTAATTACGACTTATGAGCTTAAATTACTCAGATTAGTTGTTTGTTTTTCATGTGAGTTTTGTATCGACTTATTTAGTCACTCGTGAGCCATCTCTTCCCAGCAAAATTTGAAGTTCCCTATAGAATAACTTTTTTTCGTACTCAACCCTTTGAAAAAATAGAGTGGACACAATAAAAAAATCAAAACAAAATTTATTTATTAGCCATTTGGGTTCGTTACTTCAAAATCCACAAAACAGAAATTGAAGCTAAAACCGAATCAAAATTTCTTTTTTTGTGTAACGAAAGTGAATAAACAAAATTTAATATGTTTCAATTGTAAATATGTATTGGAAATAAATATAATCATTCTAAATAATAAATAATATAGTATTAGATAACTAATTATTCTTTCATATCATTTAGATAGATGTGTGAGCTATATATTAGATAAATGTTTCAATTAACAGTGACATAATAACCACACCACCTCCTTCCACGTTTTAACAAAAAAATCTTCCAGGATTCAACAGTTAGTTAGATTTTTCCTTTTGTTTAACATTAACTATTTATTTTGATAAATCAAGATCCACCAGTTCGGTGCGATAGGGTAAGTTGCCAAATGACCATTGTCACCCTTTGAGACAAATTCATGACTCACATATATATACTTGTCTGATTGATTAGAACTGGTAGACGTATATTTAATGTGTTGGTACGTCTTAATTGGTCCATCAAATTCAGTATCTCTTTTTCCTACTAGTCCACGCATGTCTGTTTGTCCATAATAACTAAAATTTAGTTTACTTGAAGTAATCTATTAAATCCTTTTAGAAACAAAAGTGTGACATTCGTATACTAGATCATTTATTATTGGATGTCATGTACGTACCGTGCTTTCGACTGCAACTTTTCACAAGCCGAAACTCGAAACTAATTAATGCCAACTAATTTCACGTAGACCAGAAGACCTCTGATAACAGAATAATGGAAAATAATCATCGATTAGTAGACCGAATTTTAGAGTTCAAATCGTGCAACATGAAGCTCCCATGTAATTTTTTTACGTTAAAAATAAAACAAATAAACAATGAAACCAGGAGATGTAGTTTACAATAAAAGCTCGGCTCCCATGTAATTTCTTTTATAAATGTTATCGAATTGTAAGTTCACATAACAATATTATTAAAAATCATTTACTTTAAAATAAATAAATGTCAAACCTATTTTAACAAAGCCAATAGACATTCTTAACAACGTTAAATCATATATTGAAAACAAATTACAAGCTTTTTATAACTTGATTTAACGTTCTGTTTTACGTTTTACTATCGCGTTCAATTTTCTCTTTTTTATGATAAGAAAATTTTAGGCCTAAAATCACGCATTGCATAAACCTAAGATCAGGCCATGTTATTATATGGTCCTGGCATAAATTCCACTCGATCTTGCGTTCAAGTTTTGTTTTGGAGATTATGTTTTTGGTGTTAAAAGTTTCAAAATGCTTGTGTGGTTTCTAAAGTGAAGTTATTTGCCTTGTTGTTTAGAAAGATCCGTTTTCCTCAATTCTTAAGAAGACAAAATAACTAAGATTGTTTAGTGGCATGGTTTGATGATGAACGTGATTGGAACCTTCTCTTTCCATGGCTAGCGTCTTGAATACTTTTGTCTTTATTTTCAACTTTTAAGTGTCTTTAATCTTAAAATGCAAAACAAAATCTTAAGACGTTTCTATTTTTTTAGAAATTTCTATTGGTTTTGCTGAACTAGGCTATTTTTTTTAACTTGATCTGTTAAAATAGGTTAATTTTTTTTTCACCCTTTGAAATTTAAATTGATATATCCTAGGCTTTTATTGTCACTTTTCTTTATTTTTATTTTGCAAATTTGCTCCATTTGTTTTAATTGTTTCTATTATTTTTCAGTTTGGTACCTACCACTAGCCTACCACCGTCTGTCTTTATATTCATTCATATATCCAAACAAAGAGAAACTAAGGCAAAAGTTCTCAAAAATCGGACATGGGGACGGATAATACTTTGCCGTTGCTTGACCCTCGTGAGCCGACGGAACTCACCGAAAACAAACCGGCGTCGAAAGTATGGGCCAAAGAGTTCGGTGAAGAGTCAAGACGGCTCTGGCAGCTAGCCGGGCCGGCGATTTTCACAGCCATCAGTCAATATTCTCTCGGTGCACTCACTCAGACTTTCTCCGGTCGTATCGGCGAACTTGAACTCGCCGCAGTCTCCGTCGAGAATTCTGTCATATCCGGTCTCGCATTTGGTGTCATGGTACGTCATCTCTTCACGTGCCTCTTTCTTGATTTATGTGTTGTGTTCAAATAAAGGCCACGCAATTAAAAATCAATCAATATTTTAAGGAATACCTTTTTTTTGTATTCGTTGATAACAAAGTAGATCTCCCTACACATTTAAAATTATTCACATGATTTTGGAATGTCAGTTTGCTGCCAAATTAACCATAGATAGTTAGATATTAAGATAACTAATGGCTTACTTAACACGAAACCCCAAAAAGGAAAGTTAAATGCAACTAGGTACCCTAAGATTCTATTTTTACAATCCCTTGTACCTTTCTATGCTCTAAAGTTAAAGAAAAAGTTACAGAATAGAAACTGAACAAGAACGGAAAGTTGCATTTTTTTCATTTCATTTCTCATTTGTGAAAAATGATACTATTTGACACGTGAACAAGAATTTGCATGATTTAATTTAATGTACCTAATTTGTCTTTAATTCAAGTAGAAACTGAGTGAGATGGTAGCTGAAAAAAAAATTGAATGTACTTTAAAGTTTAGAAAGTCTAAATTTAATGTACCTAATTTGTCTTTAATTCAAGTAGAAACTGAGTAAGATGTCTTTTTAAGAAAAGTTTTATTCCTCTTTCACAATAAATGTTTTAAAGGTTTTTCACATATTTTAAAAGTATCCTCCAAACTCTTTAATAAAATCACTGATTCTTCATTGGACTTAGCTTCAAATTGTTTTCCATAAGTTAATGCTAAACTAAAACCTACTTAAAAATACAACTATTTTCCATATTCTTAGTGAGTTATAATGTTTTCCGTACATTTTTTTTTTTTGCTGTCAAAAAAAAAATGTTCTCCAGTTTTCAGAGTCGATGAAAATTAACCTTTTCGCCGTTAATTTTTTGAAAAACAAGTAAGTGTAATATTGGCAATTTATATCTTATTTAGTGGTATTTATGAAAATGAATATGTAGTGACTGTGTTTTTGCATACTATGCCGAAAATTATTGTAGTATATGCAATTCGTCAAGAAAATTTAGGAGTGAGTTTTGTTCCCATTTCCGTTTTCAAACTGGATTTAAAAGTCTTGTTCAGATAGTATTCTCTTTGCAGAACAAAAATTAGAAAACTGAAAACGTAATTGAAATGGAAGCTTCATGCCAAGCCTTATTTAAGAACGTAGGTAGGTAGGACCATCCCTTTTCTTTCCCTGAGCCTGACATTTTTCCATCCCCGGCTACTAGACACGCTTCACTCCTTGTTACCACTTGTTTTGTTGGTTAATTGACTTTAGGGACTTTTATACATTATTTTGTCCAAAAAAACACAGAAAAAGTGAAATGACTTTATACATTAGCTTCCAATTTCGCAGCCTATCATGGATCACCACACAAAAAAATATTTGTTTATGAGTTTATAACTTCAATATCTTTTGATAGCTTCTTCATTTCATATCGCTTATAAATTCTATCTTGATAGTATATACTTAATAATAAAATCGTCTACTATATTGGCACTATTAATTAAAAAAGAAGACTATATGTCAAATGTACAATAGATAGCAATGGTTTTAAGATATTTATAGGAAAGTAGTAAGAAGTAACAACTTACAGATGGTTAAAAAAAGAAGTTGAACTTTGGGTGTTTTCAGTTCTCAAACTTAGAATAAATCCAATATAGAGTGGCTGTTTGTTTTCCAATATAAAATAAAATCCGATATAAGAATAACTCTCAGTTCTCAAAAATAAATCCAACTAACAGTGTATTCTAAATTCTATATATATATATATATATATATATATATATATATATATCAAAGTAGTGTTCAAAAGGTGTTATGATTTAACTTTCGTTGGTTTAATAATTTCCAACTTTTTTGTGCTGGATGTGGCTCTAAAAGTAACCTCGACAACAAATCCTATCTTCAAAAGTTTCCGATCCTAAGTCAAAATTTTAAGAAAGCCCATGTTTTGGAGGTTTGGGTCAGTATCTGGTTAAGCGTAGACACAATCTTTAAAATAACTATTACTTGTGGTTGGCTTGACTTAAAATTCTGTAATGTTTTAGCATTTTAATAATGTAGTAGATGAAAGACAAATGTTAAAATGCGTGTGATATGTTGCCTGGCATGAACCAGTAGCAACTATCAATGATACAAAGAAGAACCTAACCTAAAAAGCAAAAGGAATGGTGAGGAAGCTCCCGGATCACATGTGATGTCGTCTAGTTTTTGTTTATATACATGTCATATTTTATTATTAATTCCTTAGGAAAAATAGCTAAGAGATCAAGCGATTACTTACTAGCACACAAAAAATATAGAAAATTTAATATTGTGGATTTGGAAAATGGTAACAGTTAGGGATGGGGAGTGCGTTGGAAACGTTGTGCGGGCAAGCATATGGAGCAGGACAACTTGGGATGCTTGGAATATACATGCAACGTTCTTGGGTCATTCTCTTTACCACTGCTTTATGTTTACTTCCTGTCTACATTTGGGCTCCTCCTATTCTCTCCTTCTTTGGCGAGGCTCCTCACATCTCGAAAGCGGCAGGTATCATTCGTTTTTTGCCAATTGGTTTGGTTTTGAGTTGAAAGTTTATGAAAACATTCGTAACGTCTACATGCTAACTTTTTATAAATCTAAATTTTGCAGGGAAATTTGCATTGTGGATGATTCCACAACTATTTGCCTATTCAGCCAACTTCCCAATACAGAAGTTCTTACAGTCTCAAGGGAAAGTGCTTGTGATGGCTTGGATCTCTGGAGTGGTTCTAGTGATACACGCAGTGTTTAGCTGGCTCTTGATTCTTCACTTCAAGTGGGGACTTGTAGGTGCAGCCATTACTCTCAACACCTCGTGGTGGCTTATAGTTATCGGTCAGCTTTTGTATATCTTAATCACCAAATCAGATGGTGCGTGGAGTGGATTTTCTCGGCTTGCGTTTCGTGACCTCTACGGATTTGTCAAACTGTCTTTAGCCTCTGCTGTTATGCTTTGGTACCAAATTTTTCTTTCATTCCATTTTATTTTTGGATAGTAGATATTTTTTTTTCATGTTTCTTTTTTGGATTCTGCAGTTTGGAGTTTTGGTATTTGATGATTCTTGTCGTTGTCACTGGTCTCCTTCCTAATCCGGTGATAGCAGTCGATGCCGTTTCCATTTGGTATCTGATTTTTGCTTGGTCCCTGATGATTTTTTTCGTTGAAAAATATGTTTGTTGTAAGTAAAAAAATATAAAATGTTTTGGGTTTTCACAGCATGAACATAGAAGGTTGGACCGCAATGATATCAATCGGGTTTAACGCTGCGATAAGGTAAGCTTTTTTTTTTTACATTTAATGTTCCATTTTACGTCTCTAGAGTCACAGAGGGAAGCTAATTAAACTTTCTTGGTATGATCAGCGTGAGGGTATCAAATGAGCTTGGTGCGGGAAATGCATATCTAGCGAAATTCTCCGTGGTTGTTGTCTCCATAACTTCAACTCTTATAGGAGTTGTGTGCATGGTTGTTGTCTTATCCACAAGAGACAGCTTCCCTCAACTTTTCACGTCTAGCGAAGTCGTGGCTGCGGAAACCACGAGAATAGCCGTCTTGTTGGGCTTCACCGTCCTCTTGAACAGCCTCCAGCCCGTCTTGTCAGGTACCTCATGACGAAAATAGTTTAGGATTAGAAAAACTCTGAGTTGTGATCACTTTTTGCCTTATGGTTCATCATTTTAGGTGTTGCGGTTGGAGCCGGGTGGCAATCTCTGGTTGCATATATTAACCTTGCTTGCTATTACATTATCGGACTTCCTGCTGGTCTTGTTCTTGGATTCACACTAAACCTTGGCGTTCAAGTTAGGTTTCTACCAATCGGTTCAAGCGGTTTTGTAGTTGCATTTTTCTTTTCCGTTTTGGAGTTCTAATTCATTTTGTGAATTTGTAGGGAATATGGGGAGGTATGGCAGCTGGAATCTTCTTACAGACACTTATATTGATTGGAATCATTTACTATACTAACTGGAACAAAGAGGTCTCTTGCTTTTCTCTCTGTATTATCTTTATGCTTATGTTCCACATTTGTGTTTTGGTTTGACCATTTTATTAAACTTTAAATTCTGTAGGCTGAGCAAGCAGAGAGTCGGGTTCAGAGATGGGGAGGAACGGCGCGGGAGTAATTAACTCTCATCAGTTCTTGACTTTTTTTGTGTCAAAGTTTCAATGTTTAGCAGATTATTGTTTAAAGAACAATTTCGTTTATCTCCTTTTTTTTGGGTTCGATATGCCTATAGCTTAACGAGTCTCTCTGTGATTGTGAAAGAGGGGTTTTTTTGTTTGAGTCTTATCTTAGATCGAGGATGGTTACTAATAAGCAAAACTTCTTGCTTAAAGGAGGTTTGAAATTTGATCTCCATATTAGTTGTCGTTATTGTTTTGAATGAAAACAAATTAGAAACACACAAAAACCAGGATTGGAGATTTTTTAGAATATTATCAATGCAATTGGATATTTCTTTTGAAACTGTGGTATCATATAATTAGTCATTCGGTAAAATCGTACCAAAATGTTAATTGTTATAAAAACATGGGAAATTATACTGAATGATAAAACAGACATTGGGAAATTAAGCGAATGACCATAACAACATTGGCCTAAGATTTTTGCAACACTTTTTGTAATATACTAAGTGAGTATGCGTGGGTTTTTAACTTTTCATATCGAACGCACTTACGATGATTCGACGCTGTACAATTTTCACGTAAGGTTTACATATAGGTAGATTATAGGTGGAGTCTCTATTGACATGTCGTTATGGGATTCAGTGTGCAAAGTTGGTCCAAACAAAACATTATATAACGTTTTCCTCATTTAACGTTTTGTATTTTTGCAGATTACTAAACTTAAATTATGCTTTGTATATGGTTTGTTAGTAAACATATGCTAACCTTGATAGCTTGCAAAGCAAATTAAAAAAATGCCTTCATTCATATTTATTTAATTATAAATATGATTGTTATATAGTAAAAATAATAAAGTAAAATCAATAATTTAAACTACAGTTTTAATACTTAATTTTTTTCATCCATAATATCGTTGATCAAAATTTAAAATCAAATTTCTTTCAATAATTCATTTATTATGGATAAAATAGTTAAATCACTTAATCTTTCTTGCAACATAGTTATTAGTTCTAGTTTTAAAGAACTTCTTTCAGCAGATGCGAGTGAAACTGAAATCTACTGAAAAGTTTTGTATAATTGTATTAAGAAACTTAGAATTGTATTTAGAGCGTTCGCCCTAGTTTCTCTCTCAGGCCCGATCCTCGAGGCAGCCGCCGTCGAGTCAAGATGAGTCTTTTCCGCGCAGATCCACCGTTCGCTCCCCCTCTCTGCAATGGGTTCAGTGGTAGCTGATCTTCCATCGCGTCTCAAGCCTCCGCCGGATCCACCACCACCGCCGAGCACGAAGACCAAGGTGCCGTTTCTCCTCCAAGCCAGAGTCAGCTCCGAGCATGACTCCTCAACGTCTGACTTCCACCTCCGACTATGACGCCCGCCTTTCCTTCTGAGCACCATGTCGCTCCTTCAAGGCTTCTTTCCGGTGGTTTCCCGGAAAGACAAGTTCTCTTCCACTGTGATGGTTGTCCGACGACGAGCTTCTCCGTTTTCTACGCTGCGTTTTACAAATCGGGACTCTGACGCCTCTCAGCCTCCGATGGAGTCATTCTCGCTTCTGTTCTCTCGTCCTTTGCCGCCAAAACCTCCAAATCCGCCAGATCCGCCGGGTTCTCCCTCGCCTCTGGCGTTAGCCACTTTGGTTCTCCTCTCTCAGCCAATATTGCTCCCTCTCCCTCTCCAAGCTTTGCTACATCTCCTGGTGTTCTACTTAAGACCCGGCAAACTTTATCATCCACCGGTCCTCCCATGGTCTCCTCTGCCACTCTACCTTTTGATGGCTTCCTCCCCATTCGTGTCCCAGGTTTTCCCCTACTCCTTGTCTTCTGTTTTTCCAATTTTGGAACAGATTGTTACAGGATGGGAAATGCTTGTTTCGGTCCCTTGTGTTTCCGTCTTAGTGCGGCTATTTACTGCAGTATGCAGATTTTGTTCCCATTTCAATATGATGGAACTCCAAGTTCTCTTCTTAAATGGCAGATTAGAATGAAAGCTTGCCTTAGTAGCCCTCTTCCATTGAATCGGGTCTTGGACTATTATAGTTCTCATCTCTCCTTTAAGGAGGCTGTATTTCACCCAAAAAATTCACTTGCCTTGAGTGGTTTTGTTTCAGGGAACACTGTGTTGAAGGTAGTTCTTTTTAGAAAAAAGGTTGTGAGATTATCGGTCTCTCGTTCAGTAATTGAGTTTGCTGACGGCTTCACCTTTTCGACTACGGAGGCTTCGATTCCTCCTCTTGTTGGCTTTGTTCAAGACATCAAAGTTTTCTTTGGTCTGGATGTTGCAACCTTTGAGCTTGTCAGCTCCCATCTATCCTCAGTTGAGTTTAACTCCCGCTTAACCCTTTACCTCGTTTTGAGTTATTGTTGTTGTATTTGCTTTGCCTTGTGCTTCATCAACCGGTTGGCTGTCGTCTATCTTTATTTAGCTCGGTGTGGCTGTTTGTATCATCTTCAGATGGATGTAAAACTTTGTTAAGTTAATGCAAGTTAAAAGTTTGACCAAAAAAAAAAAATTATATTAAGAATCTTCTCAAATTTTCAGCAACATTCTCAGCACATAAAGAAAGAAAAATGGTATAGTTTAATTTTTACTCTAATTCTTTAATAATAACAATTATTTTAATTTTATTATTAATTTTTCTAAAATGCAAATTCTTCAATAAAAACAATTATTTATATCTAATTGTTAACTTTTATTTTGTGGATAAAACTCATATATAGGTTTAAGAAAACTAGGTCCATATTATTTTTGAAATTATTAATTTCTAAAAAAATTAATGCCCTTAAAAAAAGTGTATATCAATGTTTCTTTCAACATAAAAACATCTCCAGTAGTAAGTCTCTAAAAAAAAGTATCTCAACAATATTTTATTAATATAGTTTAATAATTTAATTTAAATTGAAATATAAATAGAGTTTATGATACAACGAAGTTATACTCAATAAAATCATTTTGTTGTCACTAAAACTAATTCAATGCTCAGTTAAACAAAGAATCCAAACACACCTCAAGAAATCCAAATGGAAAGAAATAGTTCTTGGCAAACTCAGAGAGAGGAGGTGAATGAAAGAGACGAAGTTTGTTACAATTTTCTGATAATCAAAAATGTATCTCTCTCTTCGATCCTATTAATTATCTTCTGCTTCCTTCTTCTTTAATCGCAGCCGTTTATTCTCTTTTATCTACACTGTCCACATATCTACTTAAAACCCTGTATCAAATTCTTCCCTTTCAGAGAACCGTGACTTCGTGGTTGAAAGATGGATACTTCTGCAACAGCTCGTATAGAAATTCCCAAGTGACTTCACTGTCATCTTCATTGACCCATTTAACCAATACCATAGTTGCTGGTTTACCCTATCTTTGTACCATCTTCCTTCTCAAAACACGTTCAGGTTCCTTAGTCAGCGCATCCGCTATAACTGAAGGTAAAGCCATACTCACTGATGCTTCACCCACACGGAGTTTTAGTTGTGATACGTGAAAACCGGACGAATCCTGCTAGTTGTTGGTAACGCCAACTTGTAAGCCACTTTGCCACATTTGTCCAGGACTTTATAAGAACCAAAGTACTTAAGTGCGAGTTTCTGATTTGCACGAACCACCACTGACTCCTGTCTATAAGGTTGCAGCTTAACATAGACCCAATCACCAATCTGAAAGCTTATGTCAGAACATCGGCGGTTTGCTGTTTGTTTCATATGTGTTGAGCTCGTAACAAATGGAATTTTAGTATCAACAGCACATTCTTCCGTTCCTGTAAGTTCTGAGCAACTACTGCCACCTTGCTTTCACCTAGGACATACGGAAGGTGTCGCGGAGGTTGTTGTCCATAAACTGCTTCATCCAGACTCATTTGAGTAGAGGAGTGAAACATCGTATTATACCAAAAATCAGCTAACGGTAACCATTTGTTCCAGAGAAAAGGTCTATCACTGCACATACATCGGAGATATGTCTCTAAACAATGGTTAACCACCTCTGTTTACTTTGAGGATGATAAGCACTAGAGTAATTCAACGAGACGCCCTGAAGAGTAAAAAGTTCTTGCCAGAATTCACTAAAAAAATGGTCTCTCTGTCACTGACTATAGATTTCAGAAGTCCGTGAAGTTTGAAAACATTGTCCAGAAAAGCTTGAGCCACAGAAACTACATTGTACGGATGCTTCGAAGCAATAAAGTGAGCTGCCTTTGTCAGTCTATCTACAACCACAAAGTTGACTGATTTTTTGAACAATATATGAAGACAATCAATAAAGTCTATGGAGATATCTGTCCATATTGCTGTGGGAATCGGCAAGGGCTGCAACAGTCCTGGAGACGCTGAAGTATCATACTTACATTGTTGACAAGCAGAACAACCATGTATGTACGCTTGGATGTCCTTTGCCATTCCTTTCTAGTAGAAAATAGCTTTTACTTGCTGATGTGTGGCATCTTTTCCCGTATGGCCCCCAATTCCCGTACAATGGAGCCACTCTAATATTAACTCACACAGTTTAACATCAGCACGGACCACCAGCTTAGTCTTCCTGCGTAATATATCGCGTGACCAAGTGTAATGTTTCTTGCAACCCGGTTTTGTTTCCAACTCCGCAATCAACATTTGAATATTGATGTCAGTAGCATAGCCTTCTTGAATGAGTTGCACCAAATCGCAATCTAGGACTGGTAAAACCATATGTAGTATCTCTGCTCTCTCAACTCTCGACATTGCATCAATTACTAAATTTTCCTTCAACTTACACAACCACTGCTGTTGTATTGGGGTGTTAAGCCGTTGCTCCAGTAGGTACTTAAAGCTTCTTTGATCCATTTTGATGACAAAGTGACCATTCAGTAAGTAATGGTGCTACTTTTGTACGGCAAAAACAATAGCGAGCAAATCTTTCTCATAAATGGATAGATGTAGCTATTTACCCTTTAAGTGACAACTTATATATGCTAATGGGTGATTTTCCTGCATCAAAACTGCACATATCCCCTGTCCGGATGCATCAGTCTCCACAACAAATGGTCGATCAAACAATGGAAGTGCAAGCATTGAGGCTGAACACAAAGGTTTCTTCAATTCATCAAAGACAATTTTGGCTTTTATGGACCAATTAAACGAGTCATTCTTTGTAAGCAGAGTGAGAAGTCTTGTTATACTGCCAAAATTCTTAACAAAGCTCTTGTAATAGCCTGATAATCCCATAAACCCTCTCAATTTTTTAAATTCATAGGGATTAGCCATTTAGCTACTCCTTGAATCTTACTTGGATCCGTGAGATGCCACTCTCTTCGATAAAATGTCCTAAATATTCCATTTGTGCAGTAGGATATGCACACTTGTTGCATTT